TTAAATTAAATTTTAATTAAATAACATAATATTGTTAAATTTTTAAATTTTAAATATAAAAATTAATATTTAATAAAATAAAATTTTAAATTTTAATTAAATAACATGATATTGTTAAAGATTGAGATTCTAAATTTTTTAAAAATTTTCCACTTATATGCACTTTTCCTTAAAAATTAATGTAAATTAACAAAAATATATAACCAGTTAATTAAAAATGAATTTTTTTGAATAAATTATAATTAATTACATATATTTAAGTAAATAAAAAATAAAAAAATAGAATCCATGAGGTTTGAATTCATAATTCACATGAGGTAATCGCAAGGTCAAAGCCATTAGATAAGAGAGGAATGCTAGCTGCACTCGCCTTTCTCCAGCACTCTCCAACACTCCCTCATCTAAAATAGCCACGTGAACTTTTCTAGTTGGAAACTTTGAATTGCGAGCCAAATTTTGTTACGTGGACATTTTACATGAGAGAGTGTTGGAGAGTGCTGGAGAAAGGCGAGTGCAGCTAGCATTCCTCTTAGATAAGAACATACAGAACATACAGACGTTAATTAAAAATTAATTATTTATAATAGATTTACATTTTAAAGGAGGTGAGGTAGGTGAAAAAGACACGTTAGAGTTAAACGTAGCCTGAGCAATATTTGCATAAAATAAAATCCACCTACCACGTGAAAACGCAGCGTTTTCAGTCAGAGTATTTGGCTCCGGAGAAAGTTGGCGATACCGTTTCTTTCTTCCAAATTCCAAGCTTTCTCTGATTTTCCCACTCCCCAGCACAGGTAAGATTTCAAACCAGATCTGCTTACTAACAGTACCATTTGCATCCCATTATTCCAAAAATTCTGGTGTGTTTTGATCTTCCACAGCAAGAAAATGGATCCCAATTCAGTTAAATCCACTTTGTCGAATTTAGCATTTGGGAATGTAATGGCAGCAGCTGCTCGTGATTACAAAAGGGTCTCATCTTTTTTCACTTTTTCTCCTCTTTACTTAATTATTTAGACAAGGCTGTGTTTTCTCTGTCCAAAACTGTAACTGGGTTTATGACAAACTATGTCTATCACATACAATCTTGGGCAGGAATACTGTAGAAGATTTGTTCTAGTTTCTTTTTGCCAACAGCTACTGTAATAAATGGACGGAACTGAATTTATGGTTGATGATGTTCATGAGTTCTTTTATGTTTAGTAGTTTCACAGCTTTTTTCTTTTTATTGGTCAGAGTTCTTTTACAGTTTTGCATTTCTGCTTTGGGTTGAAGAAATGGGTTTGCGACTTTGTGGTGTTATTTAGATACTGTAGATAAT